AAAAAAAAAAAGCCCCATATACCAATACATCAGCAAGGACAATCCCTCGCTCTCCCCCAAAATCTTTGGTCCCAAAGGTAGCAAAGGTCACAATGTGCGTGATAAGAAGTTAGGAGAAGCCTGTCAACCTGATTCACCATTTTCCTGATGGGTATTAGTTCTAAAAGCTTATTTGATATGGAAAATTGACATCTAAGCATTCTCCTTAATCTATAGTTGGTCATTTACCACCTGCACTTTATTTAGTGAATAGAAAAGGTCATGCTTTCATTCTGTATTTCTTCAAAAAAAAAAAAAATCAGCTTCAACCAGACTCCACATGAAAGCTCTCAGGGGGACAACGTTTGCCTTTGAGTCACTGTCACTCAATACAATAAGCTCGTCTCGGAAAGTCTTGTCCCACAGCCCTCCAGGGCAGAGCCCACCCTCCCGCCAGGAGTTGTCACCTCCCTGACCCGCAGAGAGGACTGAGCCAGGACTGTGCAGAGTCAGCTTTCAGGCTGGCTTGAAGTAGCATGTATCCAGTCTTTTCTCTCCTGGGTTCCATTACAATCGTCCTCACAGGCTTCCTGATGCCAGCAGAGGCCCAAAGCAGACACATCTGGCATTTTTAAATGGCTTTATTAAAGGATATTAGTATAAAATATGACCCAGTTACAAGCTGTCAGTAAGAATTTATCATTTTTGAAAATGTGTATCAAAGAAAGAGAGGCTACAGTGACATCCACACAAGGGGTGGGGCTGTGGTGGTGACAGGCCCCGCAGTTCCCCACGTGGGCAGTGCTCCCAAACCCAAGGGCCAGGGAGAGGCCCCCAGTGAAACACAGACTGGATGGAGTCTGATTTCCTGGGGAGCTCCTGCAAAATGCAGTCTAGGAAAGCAAGACATCGAATCCTTGAGCTGAATCCCGGGTGCGGACAGCGGGGTTGCGGTGGGGATTCAAAGTGACCCATGGCTTCAGCTGAAGTGTGCATTTTTAAAAAAATATAAAGTCCTGATTTTAGAATCTCCAACCTGATGCGTTGGGGGCACGGGGGGCACAGTAAATATAGAGCGTAACTACTCCTTCCACTCACATAGATTATCTGGAGGAACTGGAAAGAAATCATCTTTGCACAGACTTGCCCAGGTGTGGAGGAAGATCTGCAGGTCGGGCAGGGTGGAATCCCACCAGCCACATCCCCCAGGCCCTCACCTCTCCCAAAGCAAAGCCCAAGCAACACGACCTGAGGACACCCTCCAGGACTCGCCAGGTTTGGATTTTACGTTTAGTCTCAGGAGGCTATCCCACTAAGAAACACTCTTAGGAAGGTTAACTAGATGCTGCTGGGCACCGGCCCCAGAGGGTACTGAGGCAGGAGCTTTCAGTGACCCCCACACCCCTCAGCTCCGGGGAGAACTTGAAGGCAACACTGGGCTTCATGAGAAAGTGGGAAAGGAGTAAGCATTTCTCCCAAGAGGACAGACAGATGGCCTTGATCAGCCGTCCTGACCTCTCCAAGGAACGCCGCTCACAGTGTGCGCTCCCGAGTCCTCGGGAAGGCAGTGGAGGCCCCTGATCCCCGCTCAGCCTGTGCCACTGGGACTCGTGAGCTCCTTCCCTCATCGCCAGCTGGGAACCTTTCTACCCACATCAACTATACTTAAACGCAACGTAAAGAACCTGTATTTGTAAGTTACGGTCAGTCCCTAAAGGAGGAAGGTAAATCCCATGCCCCAAGGGACCAAATGAGGTTTAGAGACACAAAGCAGTTGTTGGGGACCAAATCAAACAGAGGCCACACCACAGCCCTGGCAGAAACCTCCCCAGGCAGGAAG